TAAAGTAGAGAAACCTTTATTAAGGCTTCCTTTAGATGACCAAATACTTAAAAACAGAATTAAAATACAATTAACATATTAAATCAATGTTTGAAAGTATAGGATATCCAAATATTGACATATATGCCTCAGAATACAAAAATCAGACAATCCTGTTTTATTGAATGAAAACAGTTCATGCTGTTTTGATTTGTGTTGCATTTTAATTGCATGGCTCTATAATTTGATTTAATAAAATAATAGTAAAACAGATCAGCTCATTGTAAAATTGCATGAAGTCAAGGTAAGCAACAGCATGCCTAGATTTAAGAGGTACATAGGCACACTATTTTTTTAAATCCTTTTCTTACTTTACAGATTAATTTGTCTCCAGATTATACAAGTGTGCTATCACAGAATGGAGTTGAGCACTTTCAAATGCTTTTATTAAAAAAATGTACATGTATATCTCATAATTATTTTTTGTGGAACACTGAATGCTTAGATAAAGAAGCTGAGAAAGATCAGAAGGCTGCCTCCCAAAATTAGAAGTGATGAATAGCGAACAGAAGACACCATAGCTACCTGGTCTCAAGTTATGATGGGTTTTAATAGTCCGTACCAGCCTCTTAAACTGCCTAGAAAGTGAATAGACCATCAGTGCAAAGAGCTGTTGCTTCTAATAACTTCGGTATTACAGTCTGTAACATAATTTCACCAAAAAAGGGCTTGAAGTTTCAGAAGCATAGACGCTGCTGGTCATACTGCAGCTTTCCAAAATGGACCACAACTTGCACATCTGAAAAAAATCGTTCTTAAGCAAGAGCGGGTTCCGGAGCTCTTCCTAAATTGGAAAATTACAGTTTGTTCTGATAATCTAAGAAATTATGGCAAATTTAAAAATGGTCTGCTCAGCATGAGATGGTTGAGGTATGATACACCAGAGCCTACTGCTACAATATTTTTCTTCCTTTGCAATGAGCCAGGAGCGGCTCAGTTTGTCACACCAGAGGAGGCAGCTTGAACAGCTACGGATGGAACTTCCAAGCAACCCACGGGCATTTCAGAACATGGCTCAGGTGCCATTATCGGGAACTCCTGACAAATTAATCTCCAACGTGCATTGTAAGTACCTGCACAGCCATTTGGGGTGGGCATTCTTGATAGGCAAAATAAAGGAAGAAGGTAAAATTCCGTTCTATGTATTTTCAAGGACTTTTATATGTAAATGACTTTCACTGAAGGGACAGAGGGGGACTAATTCATGTATTATTTAAATAGTGGGTCTTGGAGCACAAATTTCAGTTTCTTCCACACAAAGTGGTCCTGGCACTCTTAACGCTGGCCCTCAAAATACAGAGGAGCATCTGACAATAAGCTAATAGGGAAAATTTAGTTAAACGTTGCTTCATTACATTTTTTAAAAAGTAACTAAAGAGCAAAATAAAAAGAGAGTTCTACAACTTGTTTCATTGTTCCATTGCCTCTTTGATCTATACAAGTATCTGTGTAGATGACACAGATGACTATATACCATATCTAACTTGTTTTTCTTCCCAGTTTTGCCTCTTCCAGTTACTGTTCCACCTAAAGTCAACCCTGGAAACACCGGAGCTTCTCAAGGACTTCCAAGACCAGATACAGCAGATTTATGTGCCAAATTGGTGTTGCATAAAATTACAGCTGAACGAGTAAGATTACATTGTCCAGCTTTTGGTCTACTATGAATTGAGAACATTAACATCTGTCCTGAGGTTATAATTTACAGCTGTTTTTATTTTATTTTTTAAATTTATATGAAAACCCATCTTGCAGTCATGTAACAATACTATTCTATTTAGCATTAATTTCATCTAATTTTATTTCACTGTCTTTCAGGTAAAATTATTATCTGAAAAAGAGCTCAGTTGAATTCAAAATTTGCATGAAACACCAAGTTATGGAAATGGGAAGGACAGTGAAATTCTGATACGTGGTCATGAAGCTTATATGTTTTTGGTTCACTTTTGAGCCGTTTCACCATTTTCATTCTGTTTTTGTTTTTTCTAATAGGATCATGACTTCTTGGAAGAAGAGCAGTTCTTTTTAGAAACCTTGAAGAGAACTTCCTATAAGACTTCCTTCCAATCAGCATGAGAGAGGATCAGTCCTAAAGATAGCTGTGCCAAGATTCACATTTCCTCCAAATAAAAAAAAAAATGATGTTATCACTTTGAATGGTTAACATGAAATCAAGCACATAAATAACTGCCAAATTCAATTTAGGCAGAAGCTATATTTTGTAAAATAAATATTTTTAAATGTTTCCTTACACTACTGTTGGCAGATCAACAGTTTCGTGTTTTGCTGAAACTCTTTGCCTATTAGCTGGCTTTGAAGAATGGTCCTTCAGAACAGTGGTCTGTCTTTGTATATCCCCAATATATTTTCACATCACCTTTGTCTCTTGTAATAATTTAATTTATTTATTGCACATATATCCTGCCACAATCTGATGCCTTTCAGCAGCTCACATAATATAAGACATTGAGATTGTTCCAAAATACTACTACTGCTGAGAAGCAGTTTATCCTAGTTTCAGTTCCCCTTCTATCCCAGAATCATGAGACTACAAGGATTTCCTTCATACATGATCTAACAGGTCAAGCTGATTCAAGTTGGAGTAGGCAATCCAGAGTGTAGAGATTATGGAGTTTAACCGTGAAGGAGGAATGAATATTTAGCCCTAGGAAGAAGAGAGACTCGGAAAGAACTGCTGGATAACTCTGCCTTGATTCTCTTTACTATTAGTCAAAGTAGTGGGAAACGCAAGCTTTTGACGTTCTGTTATACTCTACAACAATAGAATCCTAACAGTCTTTGTGATGTCTGTTTCCTCACCTAGCCTATTTTGAGGAGTTGATATCAATTTTCAAAGCTTCCACACACATTCAGAAAAACATCAAACTTTGTCTTGGATTGTGTCAGGGCACCCCTTTATCTGAAGAACAACTTGCTGAAACACTATTACAACCAATAAAGGAAAATATTTGTACCTCAATGTTAAAATGAGGGGTCCTTGGTGCTTTCTGAGCTTGGTTTTTTTCTTACAAATGTTTCATTGCCCATTTTGACTAGCACTGATGATGTTACCTTGTTACTTCTGCAAGAAAACAACCAAACTCAGCACCAAACACTATTACATTAATAAGTGGATATACAAATCACTCTGAAATATGCCATGGTTCAATTGGCATGATAATTGTGACAATGCTTACTTCAGTCAAAAGCAGTCCAGCCCAACCAATATTTCGTCACTCTTATGGGAGTTTGCTGAAGCTGAAAAGCCCAGAAAGAATTGTTTATGGAAGATCAACCAGCAGAACTTCCTACAGATCACTAGGGTGACCTTTGTTCCGAGTCTCCTGAAATAAAGAGCTGTGTGCCAGTAATGGGATTCAATTTTTTTTACTACCAGTTCTGTGGGCGTGGCTTGGTACTGTAAAATCTCCATTCCCTCCCCACTCCAGGGAAAGGTTACTGCAAAATCCCCATTTCCTCCTGATCAGCTGGGGCTCCGGAGGCAGAGAATAGATGGGGGCGGGGCCAGTCAGAGGTGGTATTTACTGGTTCTCCGAACTACTCAAAATTTCCGCTATGAGTTCTTCAGAATTGGTCAGTACCTGCTGAATACCACCTCTGGCTGTGTCCCTCATTGAAGGCCGTGATACTTTGCTGGATAATTACCAGAACTTCATGCAAAGATTGAGCTGCATCTCACAATCTGATCAGGAGAGCAATAGCAATAGCAAATGAAGAGATGCATAAACTGAAGCAGGACTGACATCGTGAATCTGTGTGGTATTTTTAATTATATGCCAGAAATGTGGGATGGAATGATCTTGCTCGAACCTGTTTCAATTATTGAGACATGAAAGAACTTATAATGTGCATCAACCAGTGGGTGATTGTGGGGGAAATAAGGGGGAAAATTTTCCACTTTTTTTCTCCCCTATCCTACCTTATTATGGTCTGCTTGGACATCAAGATTGGAGAACCATGCAAATAGAAAAAGAGATCCCTGTCTGCACCAAAGAAACGGAGGAGACCTTGGTTTGTTTCTGCTGTAAAGCCTCAGGACACCTAGCTAAGGCTTGCACCTTTGAATCAGATGCTAACTGGAACTGTAAATCATATCATAGCAAGTGCCCAAATCACTTTTTTTTTTGTCTCAGAAAAAAAAAATTATTTTGAGACCTGCTCCTGGTTAGACCCCTTAACTGTATGACCATTAAGGATCAGTTTCCCACCGTTCTTATTTCAGATCTGCTGAATTACCTTCAGTAAGCAGGTATTTTTTTAAAAAAAAACTAGACTTGAGCTTAGAAGTTAAATCACAATGAAAGAAGGCCCTGGATATTTAACTATCTTGTTTAACACCGCCAATGGCATCAGCTTGACTTGTTCCTTAATTTATAATTGTAAAATTTATACTGTAAAGTGATCCTTACCACTCCAACAAAGTAGCAAAGTTGTTGTCATATGAAAATTCTAAAAGAATAAAACTAATTATTACAGGGAGTTTTCTGTGTGTTTATACATTTTGCTCCTGACTGGCAATCCTCATTTTAATTAAATACATTTTAACTAAGTACATTTTAATTAAGTACATTTACTGTACTGTAGCCTCAGTGGAAAGTCAGCTAATTTCAAAGAAACACACTGCTTGTTATAGCATACGATTTTACGAATCGACAGATGAAGCGGACGCTTAGAAGAATTATTAAAAGAATTAAAATATTTTTTTAAAAAAAACCTTTGCAGGCACTCGGGGAACAACTTCGGCGTGACGTCACTCATATGCGCCAATAGCGCCCTGAGGGACCCTTTCCAAGAGAGGGAACCTAAGATCCTACAAAAATGGCGGCGCCCGTTCTAAACGTCGCCCTGCGCGGATTCCGGAATAGCAGAGGCTTTAGTACTACTGGTGGGTGATGCTAGAATGGGAGAGAAAATTGGGGCATTTTTTCCCCGGTGATCTTTCAGCGCTTCATGAAACGGGCTTCCCCGCTTTAGAAGTCCACCTCTGACCATTCCTCCTGTTAAATTTTGTTCCATTATATTCCAATGTCGATGGAGATTCTGAGTCATGCAGGTCATGGTTGTCCCAAAGATGCTTTTTCAAGAGGCAACTGGACTTTCTTGTTTTTCTTTGAAGACGTTTCGCTTCTCATCCAAGAAGCTTCTTCAGCTCTTATATTCCAGGGCATCCCTGTGTCTGGAATGTTGATATCACCTTTATAGGCTTTGTTGAAATATTCCAGGAATGGTGGTCTTTTCACTTAGAGTTGGATGGATTTAGGTTTTTCTGCAAGCATAGTATGCATCTTAACTTGTAAGGTTCTGCTAGGTTTACACTCTCTGAACTGCAGATACCCAAACAATCATACAATAATAGATTACCGAGACTGAAAATATTTTGATAGATGTGGTTTAAACCTTGCACCAGTGGTGCACATCTCTGCTGTTAATTTGTTGATTTTTTTTAAAGCTTCTGTGCAAGAAATTTGCTCTGAAAGGAGGATCCTTAAAGCTGTCTGTAATTTGCTATGAAAGGTGGATCCGTAAAGCATTTTTTAAAATGCAGTCATTTTAATAAAGGCAAGAAAGGTCTTGGATGCATGAGGGCCAAAGCATTTCTTTAAAATCACTTTTGAAATGAGGACAGTGCTCTCAACTTGTATGAAGAGGTTGGTTATGGATATATCGTTTTTTCATTCTGTAAAATGCTTATCAAAAATGCCCACAAAGGACTGGTCCCAGGTTGAAGGGAACAGTAGTTATTCGTGTTTACTTATGCCATTAATAACTGCAGTATTTGGAAACTAACATAAAACAGATTATTAAAAGTGGCTAGTAGTATTGGTGCCTTTTTATGTATATAAACATTATATTGATTTTGATTGCAGCTAAAATACATTGTTTTAATGGTTAAAATTAGGCATTCTGTGATCACTCATTGTGTATCTATATTTCCAATAAACTAAATGTAGATACAGATATAAAGGTATCTTCATTTTAGAAGAAGAGTACAGTTACTAACTACTCTGTTTTTAAAAATCATCTTGGAAATAGATTTTATACTTTTGCAGATGGAGAGACAGAAAAATTGATGGTATGTTTTGGTGCTATATTATGCTATTTATTTCATATAGTTCACAGATAAATGTAGAAATAAATGTCATGATTCAGTGTTTGATTCTTTCACCTTTTTTCATACTGTGTTTAAGTCTAACAATTTAAACATGTAAATTAAATGTACATTTTAATATAATTATCTGTTTTTGCAGTCTTTTTTCTTCATTTTGCTCCTATGTCCATTGTGGGATGGTTACATTTGAATAGGAGAAGCCCAAATGAAGATCTAGCCTACTGTGTTTTTGATCCAACAGGATAATTTGTTACACAAATACAAATTATTTTGTTTTATGTTTTTGTTTTAGCTGTCCTCTGCAAACTGGGTGTACCTCTGGGACCAATGCCTAATGAAGACATTGATGTTAGTAATTTGGAAGCACTGGAAAAATATCGTGTTTTCACTCGCTATTTCAAGGTAGCAGAAAAAGAAAATAAAAAAACTCCTTGGTGGCGAACATATAAGAAATACATCACTCCAGAGGAAGGTATTGACCATCGAAGGGCACAAAATCCCAGTTCAGTTTTTTTCCCCCTTCCAGTAGCTTTGATCAAATAGTTTAATATTTTTCCCAATGCATTTTGTATACTTATACATTTTATTGACCATGATAGAATATATTTTTGAATAAGCATACAATGAATTGGATTGTAATATTCAATTCTGTTGAGAAAGTGAACAGGAAAGTATAAACAAAATAAAGTTAATGATTTGGCTTTTGTAATTATATCTTGAAAATGAAACAGAACAATTGTTTCTGTTCAAAAAGCAAGGCATCTATTAGAAAAATGCACTGATTTGTTTCCCCCTTTAACTTGTAATGAATTCTGCAACCTTAAGAGTTCTATACATCAGAGATTTAAAGTCTACAACAGGCACTTTCTACATATTCTAAGATAGAAAATAAGTGGTTATTTTCATCTTTAAGGCCTGTTATTTAAACAAGACATTGACTCTGCCCAATTTTTCAAGTAGTTATGGGTTGTCCATCAGTATATTGTATAGAAAGCTACAAGATTTATTTTGCATAATCTCTTTTCTTTTAAATCTTAGATAAAGAGGCAAAGATCGACATTGGTCTGCCCAGTCTTCCACTATCACGAAGAAATATATATAAAGAAAGAAAGGCTTTTAGGAAACAAAATTTAACTAATCCAGAACTGGAAAAGGCATCCTGGCTCAAAACATGTATGTTAATAACCACTCTCCCAACATTTACTTTCTTTGCATTCACAAGCGTTTATCCATTTTGTTTACTTAACTATTTTGTTTCTGCTTGCAGTGCAGATTCCGCTAGATGATGTCAAAGCTGAATGGGAAAGAACCAGTGGCCCATATCACAAGCAACGATTAGCAGAACACTATGGACTGTACCGGGACTTGTTTGATAATGCTATGTTTGTTCCCAGAGTGCTTCTAAAAGTGGAATATAACCAGGATGAGAATTACGTTATGCCAGTTTATTATGGAAATGTGGTTACTCCCACAGAGGTATTTACCAAGAATAGGAGCTTTGAGATAAAGTACATCCTTTTTTGGTTTTGGTTTGTCTGCTGCTCATGCACGTATTAGGTATAAGACACTAAAGTAAATTTCCTGGAGGGTTTCACAAAATTGTGCCTAATGAATATGTCATTACTCTAAACATGTTAATAGTTATATGTTCTAATGTACTAATGTACATTAGACTAATGTACTAATATAGTGCTCTGCCAGCAAAATACCCACCTTGCAGGTCTACAGCTGTTAGGGTTAAGCTGCATGAAATCAGATTCACTATAAATTAATTCTACAATTAGAATTAACACCTAGTAAATAGGAATAGTTATAATCAAAGATACATGCAGTGCTCTCTTTGTCAGATTAACTACTGTCAGGTTAACTATTAACTTACTTATTGACCACTTGTTCAGCAACTGTCCAAAGTTACAATAGTGCTGAGAAAGGGGACTTACGGCTGATCCTAGAGGATGTGGTTGTCACAATTACATATTTGCAATTTGGGTATTTGGCAACCAGCATGGATTTACAATGGTCACAGTGTTCTGCAATTATGTGATCACCTTTTGTGACCTTCCCAACCAGCTTCTGATCAACATAACATGCTTAATAATGTATGGTAATTTGCTTAATGAACTGGGAACTGACATAACTAATGTTTTATTTTACAACTAGGTTAGCTATGCAATTTCCAGTCTCAATTGCATCAGTGAAGTGAACATAACTTTCACTTATTAAATGTTTGTGTACTATTTTGGTAGTACAATACCTGGAGCAGTTTTCAACTAAGTACAGACAAATGCTAAAAATCAGCAGTGAATTGTTTTGTGAAGAAAAAAAGTATCAGTTGCACAGTAAAGCATGAGTAAAGCAGAAACTACCATCATCTTAAATATCTGGGACCATAAGATGCTCTATCACATAATCATGACAAGAGATGCTTCAACTACTGACTCTCAACCTTACTTGTAAATTTTGCATGAGCTGGAATAATCATACAGAATGAGATAGCTTTTTGCAATACTGTTGGTGTTTGGGTGAGACTTCTGTTATCAATAACAGCAGTATGACCTTTTTTTATTGTCCACAGAATCTCTCAAATTCATGCAGTAAGGAAACTTGTCAGTTATTTTCTCCTATTTGTAACCTAAAATGGAAGAAAAGGGGAGTGTAAATCATCAAGATAGTTATTGTACACATCTTGGTTGAAAATAATCCTCTCCCAAATTCCCCAAACATCTTGAAATATACTTTCTATCCACTTGAGTGATATAATGGGGGTGGGGGGATGGGGTGTGTCACTACCTTTCCTTTTGCAATCCATGGCTCCCAAAATTTGTTCCCACCCCCTACCTTTTTTTCTACCGCATCTTCCTTTTTAACTCCCAAATCCCTTGAGAATGTTAGTTTTGGTTCTCCATGCTGCAGTTATCAAGAAATGATTTAAATGTCTGTTGGCTGATGTGAAAGCTGTGAACAGCTAGGAGAGCAAGTTTAAGAAATTATTGTTATTTCAACTAAGAGACTACTCAACTACATCAGCGACTCTGGATATTTTACAGTTAAAGTTGTAATTCTTTATTCAGGACCATGGTGGGGTGGGGGTGGGGGAATAGCTTTTTAATACTCATTGCCATATTTTCTTGTTTAGGCTTTTAATCCTCCTGAAGTCTCATTTGAAGCAGATGAAGGAACACTTTGGACATTGTTGCTCACTAATCTAGGTAAGTGCCATTATGTTAAGAATACTTTCTTAGTATGATAGGATTTCTTAACAGTTGGAAAAGATTTTCCATTGCACATTTTGATGGAGCTTCTGATTAAAATCCAGTTGCTGCAGCTGAAACAAAAGTCTATAGAGAAAAGAAATCAGAAATCATACAATTAAGAAAAACTGCCTAGATTGGGGTTCCTCAGAGTGGTTAATATTGACCCCCACAGTCAGTGGGACTATTTGATAAATGGCTTGGAATCAATAGCAGGTTGATAAATGATCAAAGGCCAATTGGGGGTCAATATTTTGGGGTTTCTTTGGAGCTCCATTTTGGTGTCTAGTCCAGTGAGACAGTGTTACCCAGGGTTGAACAGTTAGTCGCTGGTGAGAGCAACTTTGAGTTGTCTCTTTTATTATGGTTCTTTGCATAGTCAGCTAGATTTTTAGACAGGACTTGGTATTTTTATCCGCCTATTGAGACCTTCCCAAGGACCTGGGATAGGCAGATTTTGTTGTTTGATGGTGTTAAAGTTTGTAGTATTAGAGTACCTGTTAAATTATTTTTATATAATGTTTGGGAGTCAGTGAACAATTTGAAAATCCATGAAGGGTTGATGAGGTAAAGAGTTTGGGGATACCTGGCTTAGATCTTTGTTCGATTTAATTTAGATAATTCTTGCTTTTGTATGGTAGGACTGGGCATTTTAAAGGAGGATTTTGCAAGTTCTAGATGTTTCTTTGTCCCTAGAGTCTAGACTGTGTTTAAAGCTTGTAGAAGTTGTGAGCAATATAAAAAAGGCTGCAATTTTTTCCTCAAAGCTGATCAAATTGTACCACTATCCAAACTCACTTGCTGCTTTGCCTGTCCAGGCCCATTGTAGGCTTTTGCTGACATATTGCCTGCCAGATCTGGCAACCCCCATGAGTCAGAGATTAAAATTAAAATGCTCATAGTAAATAGCTGTATTTATTTAATTAATTAATCTATATGTCAGCCATCCCACACTATCCTAGTGATTCTGGGAAATTTATAATCTTTATCCAGCCTGACCTCAATCCCATTTTTTAATCATTTTAGGCATCGAGTACCACAGAATATGAGTTTAAAGAGATCATACAATAGTTTGAAATGTTTTGCAATTTTAAAATATTTTATTATAATTTAATTTAGTTTTAAAATCGGATGACTATGGATTAATATGTGGTACAGATGTATCAGAACTGGGGGGGGCGTTGTTTTGTCAAATGTTTCTTTATATAATATTGTTCAACCTTTGTCATTCAGTTTTTAAAAAGCCATTGTGAAACTTTTTTATAGTAGCATGAAAAATGAACTGTTGTAGTAGTTAAGAAAAAAATCTGAATATGCTATAGCCAAAATAGTATAATAAAGATATACTTTGTAAGATAAGTTGTATATTTACTGGGTTTTTGTATACCTTGTGTGTACAGATGGACACCTGTCTGAGGGCAATTTGGAGTACGTCCATTGGTTGGTGTGAGTATTAGCACTGTTTAGAATACAGAATAACAGAGCTGAAAGGCACCTTGGAGGTCTTCTAGTCCAACCTCCTGCTCTGTGGGCATCATTTTCATATTCAAAGGGAATCTGGAACAGAATCTCAACATTTAGCTTCCAATGTACTATCACGCTAATTTCCCTGATCCACACATTATTATAGAATCATAGAATATATGGATTAGATGGGATCTTAGTCTAGCCTATTCCACTTCTCAGTGTATAATCTACTAGTATGGCAAGCCCATTACATGGCCTTCAAGTCAGCAGACTCCATTGACTTCTGTTAATGAAGCAGCTTATACTGTTAGAAATGTGCCCTTAATAATTAGCTGGAATCTACTCCTTTTCCATTTAAAATTATTCTTTCTTGCCCTGGAACATGTTTGACCACCTCTGCTCCATGTTCTGTAACTTGAAGCCATTAGTTCTTAAATAAAGGTCTATGATCTCAATGGTCTAAAGCTAAGAAAAGAATGGATATTGGTTCTTTGGCTGTTTCTACTTTTGAGGAGCCAATATATTTGCCAGATGTGATCAGAACTGGACCATTCTAACAAGCCAAGGAAGATTTTAGTTGTAGTTGGCTCGAATACTTCTTAGTTGGAATGAAAATACACAATTTGGGGGGGGGTGTTGTATAACAAGTCTATTCTCCTCTTTGAGCCCTAGAAAACTATTGTATCCTACTTCTTTCCTCCTTCCCCTTTGTGCAATTGTTTTCAGTCTTTGATTAATTAAGACCCATGGTTTAGTGGTATGACATGTTCTTTGCATGTCAAAGGCCCGAAGTTGAATGTCAAAAAGCATGGCAATCAGAGTCAGTTGGCAGGTGGACCTCTGATCTTCCAGATGGCATTACACACAAAATACTCAGCAAAGCCAGACTGTGTGCTCAGAAGTGAGTGATGCTAATGCTGTAGGTTAGCAGTATCTGGAAGGTGAGAGGCACTCCCCATATTAGTCTTGATGATGCATATTTCTTATCTGTACATCCTACCTTTCCTCTAAGGAGGTTATGATGGTATGCATGGAATAGTTTGTCATTTTACCCTTGCATAAAGAATAAGCTCCATAGATGAATGAGGACTTGAATCTGGATCTCCCTTATCCCAGTCATGCTCCTTAACCACTATCCCACATTGTCTCTTTCATCTATTTAATATATATCCAACAATATTCTATCTAATATAAGGCAATTTTAAATTGTTTATTATTACTATGCCAAAGAAACACCAGGTTCAATAATGCTATAAGAGTATATGTAAGTGATTTATTTTCCCTCAAAAGGCAAAAAGAGGGCAAGAATATATGGAACGAGAAAACTAAGAAGATGGTCTGTATTGCAAAAAAAATAGGAAGAAAAATATTAGAAGGAAGAATTTGGAAGGGCCTTCCAAATTCTTAACCTCAACCTTCCCCAGACAGGATGCTTTCTGAATGTGAGGGTTTCAAGTTTTAGAATTCTCTGTGTGGCCACAGCTGAGAATCCAGGGAATTTAAAATCCATACATCTTAAAGTTGGCGGAAAGCTGTCTGACCTTCAGTAAACTTTATAGGATTTGAATTGTCTAAATAGGAATTCTTGTGAATTTGACAAAACCCTGAGGATTGCATTGATTTCTGAGATATGCCCTATAATGTAACACTGGTTAAAACAGAGATGAGATCCTTGGAATCCAACAGCACTCCGTCTGGTAAACTTAAAAGACCCTGAGGGATGAGCTCAAAGTTTCCCCAGCACTGTACACTGCCCAGTTAAATTGCTAGCAGCTTTTGCCAAGTAGCAAATCAGTTTTGCAAGGGAACTTGCTAACCTTTATTATTATCCTCATTGGAATAGCTCCAACTTCCCCAAGATAAACTGTAATTCTATCCTTTGGTGGCTGTAGAATGAATTCTTTGTTTGTTCAGGGGAATAATATCAAGCAAACATGTTTGGATCCTGTTTTATATCAACAGGGGAAACATTCCGGGCAACCAAATAGAGGCAGGGCAAGAAATCTGCCATTATTTCCCTGCATTTCCAGCCAGAGGAACGGGATACCATCGCTACGTCTTCCTTCTATTCAAACAGCACCAGCCAATTGATTTTACTGAAGATGTGCGACCAACACCATGGTAACTCTTCACGTTTTCCATCTAATGATGAAAGAAAATTGTATTGGGATGTTACATCTTATCTCAGGAGATGACAGATTTAGGAAGGAAAACTGACAGTTTAAGATTTTTTTAATATTAAGACCGAAAGGTGCTTTTTCAAGAGGCAATTGGACTTTCTGTTTTTTCTTCAAAGACGTTTCGCTTCTCATCCAAGAAGCTTCTTCAACTCTGGCTGGATGGTGTCAGAGCCCATCTAGTCAGAGCTGAAGAAGCTTCTTGGATGAGAAGCGAAATGCCTTCAAAGAAAAATCAGAAAGTCCAATTGCCTCTTGAAAAAGCACCTTTGGGACAATTATGACCTGGATGACTGACTCTCCAGAGGCATTTAATATTAAGAGTTTAAAACAGTTCAGTTCAGCAGGAAAAAAAAATAGACACAGCACAACTTGAAAACAAACACAACTAACCAAATGGCTTTAAATGTTGGAACCTTTTTATTGGACAGTAGTCTGTACACACAACTGTTCGGGCTGCTTCTTTGGGTATAAATCAGCATAGGGCCAGTAGTTATATTAAGTAACTCTGGGGTCTTCCAGTGTAATTCTCACAGATAGAGTGGGGTACAGGTGTTGATGCCCACTAAGCTCTGTTTTTTAAATGGCTGTACAATGAATGTACAATGGCAGGCAGAGGGAACACAGTCAAGATAAAACTGCTTATAGGAAGCTGTTGAATAGGAGAATTGGGTATAATTCTCTCATTCCAGGAACCCCACGTTTATACCTGTTTAAAATTTAAACCAGTTTTAAATTGTTTTTTTTTTCTCACTTTCACTTTCATTAAATTATGATTTCTAGGGGGAAAAACATAGTGCTCAACACATAGCACATCTATATTTTCAATTTAAGAGTTCAGAAATTGATGTTTGAACAGGGAGATAATAATAGATGAAGCGATTACAAAACACAAACCCACTGCATTTGTATTTTCATCTCTTCAGTCACAGCCTCAAGATGAGAACATTCAAAACATTTGACTTCTACAAGAAGCATCAGAGTGACATGACACCAGCAGGACTGGCATTTTTCCAATGCGAGTGGGATAAGTCTGTTACAAACATCTTTTATGAGCTTCTTAGTAAGTAATGGATCACATGTAAAATATCTACAGTTTTGCATTTTATTTAGAGTTGAAATGAAATGTTGGGACAGACTTAAACTTTGTTATCCCAAATAAACCATATAATTGGGTGGGAATGAGGTGTAAGCTGTAGTTTAAACCCAAAATTGATAGAAACTGGAAGCTTCCTCTTCAAAAAATCCCTTGATCAGTCACTCTTTTATGGGGCCTGTTTTGGGTAATTGGCACTGAAATAGTATGGGAGAGAACTTGCAAATGTACTCATAATTTAGCACACAGTAAATATGCATGGAATAGAAACTGCAAGTGGGAGCCATGTTTAGTGAGGTGCTGGGGGGAGTCGCTGAGAATCCTATTCCTAAGGCTTCTAAGAGCTCCAGTGTGAAAATCTTTACAGATGCAGCATGAGACTCATCCTATCAAGGCTCAAAAGTTAAACAGGGTCATGCCTGACTTATATTTGGATAGAAAACCACTAGGGAATTTCAGAGCCTGTAGACCAGTTTACAAAGCTTGAAGGAAACATCCCTGAAAATACAATGGTAAATCATGTCCTTACCACTAGCAAGAAAACATCACAGACAAATCCTCTAAGCAATCATACTGTGGATTAAGTTCCCTTTATTTCCTTATTAGTTGTATGATAAATTTGAGGAATATCTATTGCTGTTTCATTGTGTACTTTCCAGTGGCAGTTTCTGTAAAATTATAAAGAAAGTCCCCCTGTATATATTTCAGGTTTTCAGTAGTAATGATTGATTTATTATGTGCCATCAGGTCATTAACTTTTAGTAACCACCCACATCAATATTCTCCCTGATAAACTGTTTTTAACCTTTTAGGTCCTCCAATAATGAAAATATCACAACTGTAACTGAGCCCATCTATTTTATTGCTGGTTGTCTTCCTCTTCTTTTTCCTTCCTCCTTTCCCAGCAATAACACCTTCTCCAGAGTGTTAGGTCTTCATATAATGTGTCCAAAATAGTATAATTTGAACCTAGTCATTTGTGAAGTGGGAACCCTGGATTAATTTATTTGATAATCCATTTTTTTGTTTTCTTGCCTGTCCACAGTGTACTTGGGAATCTTCTCCAACACCAAAGTTGAAAAGTTTAATACTCTTCCTATCCTGTTTCAAAGTTCAGGCAGTAACTTTAGCTTGAAACTATTTTGTTTTTTGAAATGCTAATGCTAATACTATTGAGTGTTATACTACTGGGTTATATTTTAAGCCATATACCGTTAGTTGGTGCAGCTTCCAGGCCCCAGTGGTTTTATCAACTAAGTGTAGAACTTTCAGAATTATTTAGTCCAGGAATTTCTGAACTTAAACAGAAAGTTACTCCAGCAAGAAATAAACAGAACAGATAGTAACCAGCAGAATGTGACTGTGGATCAACCACAATCTGGATATAGATTTATAATTACTGAATTCGCTTCTTTTCACTTTATTAGGAAGAGAAGGAAGCATATGCTTTTTCAGGGCACAGTGAAAATACTGCAGACCATGACAGATAAAAGATAGAAAACTGATGAGCCATTAATTGGTCAACCATTGAGATAAGAATCTTAAGATCAGAGCTTGTTATGTTTGTAATTGTTGAGAAGTGCTAACATTCTCTCTTCCTTTTATAGACATGAAGGAACCAGTGTTTGACTTTGTTCGGCCACCCAGATATCATCCTCCCCAGAAGAAATATCCACACCGTGAGCCTCTGAGGTACCTGGACAGGTACAGGGACAGTAATGAATCCACCTATGGCATTTACTGAGCAAACGAACATACTTATTTCCATAGGAGATCTGAACAGAATAATTTGTGTGTCTGGTTTCCCCCCCACACCCCAAAAAAGAACAGAAGACCATAAAATATCATTGAAAGTGATCCAGCTTATCACCCGCTTGGAAGAAAATCCAGTTTTCATCTCTCTTGTGTATATGTGTCTCAGATATTTTGCTAATTTGTTTCCAGTATTTGATCAAGAAAACTTAAAGAATAAAATATTTTTATTTGAATAAAATCAGACAATACAATACAATACATGTTGCAAAATGTTCGATTGCTACAGAAGCTGGACTATGCATTATCTTTCATATTAAAGAAGAAAGAAAAGCCTGATTTCAAAATATTTGAAAACAGTTTCCTGGGAAGAAACACATGGAATCACTTGCAGGCATAGGTTGCTGGGACTGACTTGCATAGGCATGGGCAGCAGCTTCCCTGTAATTCCAATGTTCCCGCTTTAAAGCCTCCAACTAAGATTGTATGGGAGTGTTTTCCTCTAAGCCAGTCTTGACTGCTGATGACTATATAAACAAGTCCCTGAAGTTTCCTTGGCAAGATTTTCAGAATTGGTTTACCATTGCCTTTTTCCTAGTGCTGAGAGTGGCCTAACTGACTTTGGGCCTAAGGCAGGACTAAAACTCAATCGTCTCCAGGTTTGTAGCCCAATGCCTTAACCACTATACCAGACTGTCCCTCAGGGCCCAACCATGATTGCAATTGATAATTCTTCAGGGGTGGGGAGTTACTGCTTTTGATGGTTTTTATATTGGGTTTTTATTTTTATAATCACCTGGAATCACCGATGGTAAGTTGGGCAGCCATATAATTTTAAAAAAATAAATAAATAAACTCAAGAGCATTATGAGGTTCAACACAGAATGAAGTACAATGGATTTGTCCCACTAGCTATTAAGACTGAAAATTAAGTAAAAGATTTACCATACCAGACATGGTCACTAAACAAACAATTTTATGTTTAATGAAATCAATTTTTGTTCACATACAGGAAATCTAGGAGTCTAAAAATGATGTCAGATGTTGAATGTTTTGAAACATGCTGAAAAAATTTCTTTATCATTTTTATATCTTCCACTTTTAAAATAGGTTTCACAACCATTATAACTATCATTATTGTTAGAATAGCAATAGCACTTAGACTTATATTCCGCTTCACAGTGCTTTACAGCCCTCTCTACGTGATTTACAGATTCAGCATATTGCCCCCAACAATCTAGATCCTCATTTTACCCACCTCAGAAGGATGGAAGAGTCAACCTTGAGCCTGGTGAGATTTGAACTGCCAAATTGCAGTCAGCTGGCAGTCAGCAGAAGTATCCTGCAATACTGCACACTAACCACTGGGCTACCGAATACTTAGATCCATGATGGCGAACCTATGGTACGCATGCCCAAGGTGGCACGCTGAGACATCTTTCCGGGCACATGAGCTTTCGCCCAACTCACCAGCAGCTGCGCATGCACGCACGCCCCAGCTGGTGTTCGGGCCTCCGGTGCACATGCGCACAATTCAGGGGACCCACTGGTCTTCGGAGCTCTCCTGCTCATGCACACATATTTTCAAAAAGTTAACCAAGGTCTTTGAGAGAAGAATACTGAGGATTCTTTGCAAGATTTTGGTTATTTTTTTAAAAAAATATTTTTTTTGACACATGCAAAAGTTACTGCCTCATAAGAACTGCATCTATTATAGTAAGTTCAGGGGCTAAGCAAGCATTGCCATTTTTTCTGCTGCTAGAGGGGATTACAATTGTGGTATCTTGAACTTTTTGTTCAATGGGGTATGGATAGATCTGTGGTTTAATTATGAGAAAAATGAAAAACACCTCTTTGTAGCTAATCTGTGCTTGACACACACTAAAGGATAAAGCAGCAACCAGGTAAATATAATGAATTACCATTATTTCTCATTTGTGTTTGTGTCCATTTAAGTATCTTAGAATTGTAGAATCGGGGAGGGTTTAGTTTCTGATCTGGCCAATCTTGACTGAACTCAGTGATTCAAAGCTATTGCCATCACTGCATTGAAGTCAGCTCAGTTCCAGGAAAGACTTAACCAAGAAGTCTCCGGCAAACTCTTACTGTTTTACCTCATGGAGACTAGTCCAAATAATCACTACGGATCGAGTGTTGACCTTTGGAAACTTATACAGATAACTGCTACAGAAACAAACAAGCCTTTACATATTAGCCAACAAAACATACGGACAAAGGTTCTAGCTAAAAAATTCCAAAATGAGATGGAGCCCATTAAATGGCTAATATGAATGTGTGTTGTCGCCGGGGTGGGGTTATTTTATTATTTTTCTTTTTTATTATTTTTATTTCTTTCATACACTTTTTCATACACTTTGAGTCACCATGTGCGAGTAGGCGGCAATATAAATTTTCTAAATAAATAAATAAATTGGATTAGGATGTTTAAGATTGGGCAGGATTTATAGACCAGGAAAACTCCTTTAGGAAAATTGTCCAATCATCACAATTGAAGAGTCTGACTAGGATCAAACCCTGAACAATGAGCCATAGCATAGTTTAATTTTGGTTTAAGGTATTATATGACGCCAGCCATTCTGGTTTATGTGCTTGGGATTATGCTTTATCTTAGCACAATGTGGAATCCCAGCCATTTACAGATGATTCAACAAACCATAGTTAGAAATCATGAATTAGCTTCTGTGGGACAAGGAGGAGTGACTTGTGGACAGAGCCATGGGGAATTGACTAGCAGAGTGTTGGCAAACATTTTTGGCACCGAGTGCTGAAATGGGAGAGCGTGCATGCGTGCCAGAACCCGGAAGACAGCTGCCTGATGCGCATGCGTGCCCCGGAAAGATGATCTCCCAATATCCGCCATGCACATGCGCACCGGCCAACTGGTCTTCCCATGTGCATGTGCACCAGAAACCAGAAGGCCAGGTGGCCATTGCGCATATGCACCCTGGAAACTGGAAGATTGTCTTCTCGGCATGGGCATGCACACTGGGCAGCTGCTCTTCCGGTTCCAATTACTACTGCATGTGTGAAGACCAGCTGGCCGGTGCGCCAGAACCCAGAAGCGCAATGGGAGACGGCTCACATGCCCGGAGAGATTGCTTTGCATGCCACTTCCGGCATGCGTGCCATAGGTTCGCCGTCACGGGACTAGCATGTAACTGAAAGCAAATGTTGAACTCCAGAGACGTAGAAATGTTTCTAAAGTTTATTCTCCCGTTCAGCATTCTGGAACAGGATTGGCAAACAAAATCTGACTCTTTGGAGATTTAGCCAGCCAGACAAAGAACTCAGTTCAAAATGTAATGCCAAACTCCACTCCAGTGCTTTCTCTGTTTTCTCTCTAGCAGCACCTTCCTTGGCCAGGCTCTGGTTCCCCTTTTGCCCCTCCTGACTGCAGCTTGAAGCACCAGCTCTCTTCTCTGGAAGGCAAGCAATGTAAAAAGGAGGTTTATGTGTGTGCCAACCTGAAGAAGATAATCTAGCAGACACCTGCAGAACATGGGCATCTACATGTTCTACCTCCTCTACATGTTCTGCTTTATCAGAGTGGCCTTTATGCTCGGAAGGCACCGAGTCTGCCAACACTCAGTGCCTGCTGAGGTTTAATTACAAGGAGGCTGGAGTTTTTCCTCCCCCCCACCCCCAGATGAGTACACATTTTGCACCAATTTGATTTTGAAAAGACCTTGAAAGATGCTGATCCTAAGCCATCTCTGGTTCTAACTTGAAAGCATAGGGGGTTCTTTTTCCAGATCAAGGGTTACTTATACCAGGAATCGCCAACCTTGGCAACTTTACGACTTGTGGACTTCAACTCCCAGAATTCCTCAGCCAGCATATGCTGGCTGAGAAATTCTGGGAGTTGAAGTCCACAAGTCGTAAAATTGCCAAGGTTGGAGACCCCTGACTTATACTATAAAAAGGAATAAGAAGGCCTGGGTGATAACTAGAGTTGGTGTTTCATTTACGCTTGGTTAAAATAAATATAGTTAATATTATGCTCCAGCCATGCATTTCCTCTTATGACCATTAAATATTACAATTTGTTATCAACTTTTAGAAGCCTCATGAGCTCAGCCAATACTTTAGGAGCTGTGTGTGACCTCAGAATGGTGCACCTTCAGAGAAAATAATAAAGCTCAAGTTAACTAATTAAACATTGAAATAGATAGCACTCGTCTAAAGATTGTTTGAAATAAGGAGAGAAAATTCAAACCCAAAGCTTGGGGGTTTTTTTCACTTACAAAAAGGACAATGCATTTAATATTAGGGCATCTGAGATGACCTTAATCCAATTTTTTTTTACTACTGGTTCTGTGGGCATGGCTTGGTGGGCATGGTGTGGCTTGGTGGGTGTGGCAGGGGAAGGATACTGCAAAATCTCCATTCCCACCCCACTCTGGGGCCAGCCAGAGGTGGTATTTGCTGGTTCTCCGAACTGCTCAAAATTTCTGCTAACAGTTCACCAGAACCTGTCAGAACCTGCTGGATTTCACCCCTGCCTTAAACACTGTACTGAATTGTGTAAACTACAGAATAGCTTCTGTCCCTTTAAGATTCACTCTTACATTCAGGACCTCCCCTTGGACAGGATGCTGGGTTTGGGGCGTGTTATTTTCTCTTTCTCTACTGTGCTTCCTCTGGGGAAATGGCTTCCTCTGAATCTCAGAAGCTGGAAGAGAAATTAATATGCTGCATTTGTCTGGATATATTTACCACCCCTGTGACTGTGCCTTGTGGACACAGTTTTTGTGAGAAGTGCATCAACAGCCACTGGGACAAAGAGGAACAAGGACTCAATGGCCAAAAGATCTACACTTGTCCTGAATGCCGACAATGCTTTCCAGAGAGACCCAAACTTAGCAAAACTGTCCTGCTTGAAAACCTGGTAGAGCTGCTGAAACAGGAAGAAGTCCTCCCAGGTGGCTCAGAAGGGGAGATTAGGAAGGCAGCTGGTTCTCAGGCAAGGCAATGCGCAAATCATGGCCGGCCCTTGGAGCTTTACTGCGTAACTGAGAAACGCTGCATCTGCTGCGTGTGCACCGTGAGAAGCTGCCAAAAGCACCAGAGGGCTCTCTTTGAAGAGGGACGGAAAGCTCAAGAAGTAAGCCGGGTGGTAGAGTCAAGGAGAGTGGCTGGTGGGCTAACAGAATTCACCTATAGCAGGGGTCTCCAACCTTGGCAACTTTAAGCCTGGTGGACTTCAATTCCCAGAATTCCGAGAGTTTATTTATTTAT